ATATAYAGAKMWWATWKWSAMWMTSTRTAAGGGTCGGGTAAATAATTTTGGTTCACAGGCAGATTGCTAACGTTAGATAGCTAGGATTGCTATCATCATTTACATAAAGCTTACTTTCTTAGKGCTTCCTTTCTAAGTGACRATGAAAGTGTRACGTAGTCCCCACTGTCTCTGAAAGACAAGCACTGCAGAAGAAAATTGTTGTATGCTTTCTCCTGGATGTTGTGATTGGATTTGAATCAGTAAGTTTTATATCCAATGAAAGCAAGGGGGTTAACGAATGAATTGAACAATATTCTGGCAATATTCTAGTGATATTTCCACAGTTGTGGTCTTGAAGTAAAATCCCAATTACTCAAATGTCCGAGACAGAGACAAGACCGAATGCAAATGTGGTAGAGTCGAGACAAGGCCATCAAAAAGTCAAGATGAGATCTCGAGTACTACGACACAATTGTGGACATACACAAACTGAGTGTGACATTTTGCAATATTGCATTAGATTATTTTAAAGGTTTGACCAAAAACTTGAGGATTTTAGCCTAAAACTTGAGCATGAAAGGAAATGTGTGATATGCATTTCTTTCATTTTTAAGTATTTTATTAAAAACAAACTTTTTTCCCCACCTGTTTCTAATTGGTTTAGCTACACGGGTATCACAAACACCTTTCATGTGTTTTTCTTTAAAGATCTGTTAATATTTATCTCGATTCAAATGAAATATAGTGACTCAGATAAGCAGCAAATGCATAGGACAAACAGGATAAATGCCCACATATGGATGACAGAAAACAGGGTGTGTCTCTTTGGGGAATGCATAAAAAGAGCTGCAGCAGTTGTGTGAAACTGTGACTGGCTGATGTGCATCTCTGTATGCTGGTTCCTCTAATTCTGTCGGGGGGTGAACTCCTGAGGAGCGGATGAAGAAACAAATTTTGCTGCTGTTTGCATTCAGAGGATTATTAAGCAAAGGGAAAAAGGGCAAAAAAAGAAAATGGCCAACATTATATTACGGCCGGCTGAACCAAAGGATGTATCCGATATCTTGCGACTCATAAAGGTAACCCAGATGTTGGACATTATACTTTATTTTTGATGTAAATATGATTMATTTCAGGATTTTTAAAATCCTGTTGTATTATAGGAACTTGCTAAATTTGAGGAGATGGAGGAGAAGGTCATGCTCACTGAGAAAGGTGCTGCTAAAACCACCATTTAAACATATTTTAAAAATGTTTTGTGAAGTCTTAAAGTGACCCATTCTTTTTTTTTTTAGATCTGCTTGAGGATGGTTTTGGWGATCAGCCCTTCTATCACTGCTTGGTTGCTGAAGTCCCAAAGGAGCAGAGCTTAGAAGGTAAACCCCAGTTTTAAATAAACTAAAATGAAACTAAGTTGCTTGCTTTGATTTAACCTAACTCATGGTGCACGTTTCCAAGGCTATTCTGTGATTGGCTTTGCAATGTACTACTTCACCTATGACCCTTGGATTGGAAAGCTTCTCTACTTGGAGGACTTCTATGTGATGCAGGAGTTTCGAGGTGAGCGCTAAAATGTAATAATTAACCGATGTTACAGGACACTGGTGTGCTGTAAAGCTGCTGTAATGCATGTTTAATGTTTCACCAGGTCTTGGCGTCGGCTCTCAGATCCTAAAAGTGCTGAGCGAGGTAAAGCCACCTATACGTTTTCGTATTTCAGCTGCGTTTGTGTCGTACRTTCTCCAGTAATTCGCAGGTTTTTCTGCTCTCTACTCCAGATTGCGGCGAAGACCCGCTGCAGCAGCATGCATTTCATCGTAGCCGAAAACAACAAGGAGTCCATCGAGTTCTACAAGAGGAGGGGTGCGGCCGATCTGTCCTCGCAGGAGGGTTGGCGCCTTTTTGCGATCGGAAAGGAGGGGCTGCTGAAAATGGCTAAGAAATAGGAGTTTACTGATTCGCACATGCATTTTGGCAACAGCAACATTAATGTTCCATCTGCTTGGAGATGTTGCACAGTTTTAATACACCTGTTTACCTTTGATAACAACCAGTTCCTGCAACTACAGTATAAGCTCATGTATAATAAAAACAAACTGAAATCACCAAAAAAATATTAAGGTATACTGCTGCCAAGTAGTTTTATTATATTTTTAAAAAACTGTAATAATGATAAAAACAGCTATATATTTAAATTGTCTTGAGCTAATTAAGATAAAGTATCTTAAAAAGTTATTCTATAGTTTTGATTTTGTATTTTTAGCAATATTTTTTAAACTTGTGATGAAACTACATAAAAATCTATATTTAAAGTTTATACAATAATAATTTGTGTCAGAGTTGTGTGAAGTCAAGGGAGAACATTTGGCAATCCGATAATGACATAAAAATGTACTGCAGATCAGAATGGGATTTTTAATATTTTCTAAAAGTGTAAATGGAAAATAAAATGTTTTTACCAAAATCATGACTGAGCACTGTGCAACATAATTTTAATGTGTTTAATACTATTAATGTAATGTTTTAATGTTAGGTTGGGAGTGTTTGATAAAAAAAAATAACATGCCATTTAGGAGGTTAACAGCAGTATCTACTGTGTGTAATATATCATAAAGGGCTGAGCACCTGTTTTGGTTCATGACGCAAATAGAAATTCAGACTCTGACAGTGGAGTTTCTCTGTTTAGGGAGGTGTTATTCAGCTGGGTCGCTGCATAACTGTGAGGTACCTCAAGGCACCAGTTTAGGTCTCATACTGTTTTCATTGCTGRGAGTGTGTTCTTGTCTTAACAAAATATCTCAAGAATGACTGGACAGATACAAATGCAGAAAAGTAGGTTTTGGRTGTAGCTGATTATCTTTGGGCAACAAACTTAAAAAACACAAATGACCACAACTCAGTCGATTTTAAAGATGAGCTTAATGTGGTAGTAGCTGAGAGTCATATTCAAGAGTCAGTGCATCAAGGCAAAATGCATCCTTTCAAGAACCACTAGTTTCATGTTTTTATGATTTATTTTAATTTTCCTTGCATTAATTACTGATTTACAACTTAGATTTGCATAAGTGTGTTGTAGAAATAAAGTTTGAGTTGACTATGTCATGGGGCCATTTGAGGATTGTATTTTAAACATATATTTTAACAAAAAAAAATAAGTTCAAGGTTAACTTTTAGGAGAATATTAGAAAAAGTTATGTGAGGTCATGTGCTCAGAAGTATGAAGTTGTGAGTGTTGAAAAAGGCAGACWAGTTTGTTTAAATTATTATTTATTTCTCTTTAAACCGGTGTGATGGTGTCGTTTGCGTGGTGTTTGGGTTGAGCTCGGTTCTCGTGCAGCTCCAGCAGCCTGTGGGTTTAAAACGCCTGCAGAGCACGGTTCGACCGAAGATCCCGGCCTGTTCGGTGGCTGTCGGCTGATTTCCACCTGAACTCTTCCGCAGTTTCCTGCCGCTCTCGGGCTGTGACGTGTCGCGCTGACGGCGGCCTCGGAGCTGCGGGAGAAGCGGGGGGCTGTAGTAGCTTGACAAGATCTGGCTCCGAGACGTCCTGCTTCGTTTTTCAGCGGTGTGCTCCAGAATCAACCCCCCTAACCCCTCCTTCTCCGCTCGTCTCTGGCCCGCCCAAATAACACAAAATTCCCGACTGAATCCGGCCCGAGTCTGGGGGAACTGGGCGGCCTGGGAAGCCGTGGAGCGGACCGAGGCCATCCCTGCAGCATAAATCTGGTACGCGGGTCGTTTGTGTTGTTTTTCTCTCTCGCTGCAGGGGCTGTGTTGTCGCCTTCGTGTTTTCATGTTGGTCTGTGTTTATTTGCATTTGATCATTTAGTTTAATTCTTTATTGTGACGGAGAGGCCGCTCAGGGTTGGGCCTTTTTTTGGCCTTTTTTTCTGAGGCCATGATCGGTAAATCAGGCCGATTTTGTTAGCTAGCCCACCGAAAAGCACATCTTGTTTGCTCTCACAGTTGTTAATATTAGCTTTAACAMTCGACGAGCCTTATAAACTTCATTTAGTTCATAATACGCAGCCTCTTGCTTTATGTAGGTTTTCATTAAATGTTAAAATTAGCATTAGTTCAGACACAAAGCTAAGAAAATGGCGGACGCTGGTGTGATGAAAACTGGYTGTAATAAAAGATGAGCATTTAGCCTCGATGCTAGCAGTTAATTTAGCCCGAATCGCTATGCTTTAAATGCAATTTTGCTTTTTCCTCGTTCTGTTTCTATCATACTATTTGTTTTAACGACTTTGGTTGTTTTCTAAATTGGGAGTTCTTGCTGTGACATTTTGTTCTTTGCATGTGAAATCAGTGCTAATGTTGTTGCAGTCGGAGACGCCGATGTTGATTCATTTCAGTGGTGTTTCTTTGTGATGGCTTCACACACTCGTACCAGGATAGCCAAGCTTGTCCAGTCACTTAAGTAAAGTTTAATGTAAATCGGAGGCATCTTTTGAGGAGCAGATTGATGCTGTGTGRTCCGCTGCATCTCCACACACCGCTGACATCTTTTTTTTCCACCTAGAGGAGGGGGATGGTACACCCAGTGGAAATTAAATGGCAGCTCGGCTGCAGCTTTTTTTTTGTTTACATCTCAGCATCCTTCCAGCCAGTGTGACTGCTGTCACACTTTTATCCTCACGATGAAAGCAGTGCCACTTGGTCCTTGAGTTTCATTGAGAAATCCTGTTTGGTTTTGGTCAGTGAACATGATAGTGCTGGTCAGTGATCACTAGCTGACCTTTGCGACAGACACAAGCTGTTTCTGTGTAATGAAATTGAAATTGTTTGCATTAAGTAACATCAAGTCTCACTGCTTTCTTAGAAAAAAAAAACGTTAATAAACTTGTGCAAATGTGTACAATGTCACAGAAATAAAATGTTTTGAATACACTTATTTATATCATTTGAAACTATTTATAGTACTATATTTGCAAAAAACAAAAACCTATACATATGACTGCTACAACAAGTACAATGTTTTTACAAGTAATTACAATTTGTTCACTTTCTGCTGTTAAATGTCATGATTAATTAATTGTTGAAATAATAAATAAACTGTTTGATTCTGAGTGTTCAGTGGTGATGTTGCAACTATTTAGATTTTGATAACTTTGAGCAAAAATACTACATTTACACAATGTTATGGTAATTAAATAAACATTTAGTAATATGATTTTATTTACTTTAAAAAATGAATTACTACTGCTTAAATAACACTACAAATTACTTGACAGTGAATACATTGTGTATAGTTATTCAAATTTTAATGCACAGATTATAGTATCCATTACAAGGTGACATACTTCTCTATACTTTTWGTTTAGACTGATAAAAATACATTATGGGCTTTTTCCCTGATTGTTTAATGCAAGGTTAGTCTGTTATAGGGGTAAACATCTCACAGATTTCCATCAAAGAAGAAGGGTACATCTCGAAAGTAAATATTTGATCTGYTGGCTGACGTTAAATGTTAGACACTCACACATACACAAATATATCTGCATTATGTTGTGTCAGAGTTGTTCAGATCATATTAGTGACCTTGAATACATGATATTTACTCGAGTGCAGATTTGATCTCTCTCTCKTGTCTGAATAAAATCTCTCAAGATTCACAAAGCGGTGTTTTTTTAAAGGGATCCACGATTAGTTGTAGCATTAGACTTTATTTGATAAACATATATTCTAACTGTAAAATAAAGACTAAAAATACTGGAGGCTGATTAGTTTTGTAAATTAAAAAAAGGATATTTTTACACGGACTGAGACATTTTATTTACACGCAAAGCATTCTGGGTAAATGATGACGTGGATAGGTCCTCGGTGCGAGGCTG